GTTTATATTAGAACAAACACTGTCTTTGAGCCCGAGCAAGTAAAATTATTGAAAGGGAAGGACAAATGCATTGACAGACTGGCTAGAAAAGGTAATTTCAGGTTACATTCCTGCTTCACGTCCCCTCCCAAGACCCACAGGGTGCCCCTGCCACAGCCCTTGCCCAGGCTCAGCCCAGCGGCTGTTTGGCTTTCCAGCCTGGCATCCGAGGTCCCTATTTTGTTACAAACAAGAATTTAAATGCTTGAAATGAAATAAAAAGCTTTGTGCGCTTATAAATCCAGTGGCACAGGTTTCAGACATCTTTTCCTGTCATGCTGGGAGGAGCAGCATCCGGCACAGGCACGTGCACTGTGATACCGGGCATCCCACTTTTGCCAGATCAGTCTTTTTTTTCTTTTTTTTTTTCTCGTTTGTGGTCAGAAAAAAATTAAAATTTAAAATTAAATTGCATAAACCACCTTTGTTAAATCAGACCTTAATTTTCTACATTAACTGAGACATTTAAGATTTTGCTATTCATACTAATGAATTGTAGCAGCCTGAGATGTAAATGAAAAAAAAAAAGCCGCACTACATTTAATGCTGGCAGTTTAGTCTTCTGTAATCATTAACACTCTTTCCTAAGTCCATAGTTGATTCACTTCTATTTTTTTTTTGTTGGTGTGAGAATGTAGGGCCCTGTCTGATTTACAGAGTCATATAACCTCTGTGAGATGAATGAGACGGTGCCAGATACAAGCCAGGACTGAAGATGATTTAAGATTATTTCCACTCTTACAGCAGTAGCTTGTCTTTCTATCTCTGCCATTAACAAATAAACACAATTACACGCAGGGCAAGATGTAGCAGCTGGTTACTAGTAGGAAATGAAGTGGAAAATAATTTAAACAATTAGCTTGAGGAAGGAAAAAAGTAAAAAAAATTGGTTTACTGTAATAGTTATATTTTTCTTCCGGTGACACCTAAATCTGGCGGAGATCTGTGAAAGTGATTCAGGACTGGTTTTCAGAGTTAACTGCAGGTGGTGTCAACAACTTCAAAAAAAAAAAAAAGCTATGAATAATACATAACTAAACTTTTGTTGAGTAATTATTAATAGGAAACACACGATTCAAGATAAAGAAGTCTCTCAGATGGCAGAATGTGATAGAGATCACGGTAACACTGAAGTTATCGATCCAGGGGGCTTAGATGGCACCCAGCAAAAAAGGAAATGTATTTTCCTTGCTAGTTCCCCAAATAGTTGTGAGTGGAGCAAATCAACATCCGCCGAAGGCAAGAGAAAAAAAGTCTCTAATTCTGATGCAACTTCCCATATGTTTTCAATCAGAATTTTCCATATGCTGCCTTCTGCTGATGCACTGTGAAGCGATGTAAATGCTCTGATTGCGAAGAATACATAGAGATACGTATTTGTGGGCCAGCTGAACACTGCCACTGCTGCAGCTTCTGAAGGAAATGAAAGATCAGTCATTTGCTCCTCCGAGTAGCTGTGCATTCGTGGGTCCTGGAAACATAGGTACTATTTTGCAAAGGGATCATTGCAGAAGAGAAACGAGCTGTAACTCCATCCTATCTCTTCCCTCAGGTTGTGAAAGGTCATGGTTGGCTGGGTCCCGTTGTAGCTCAGCTCAGAAAGTGGTAAAGGAACTCAGAAGTTGTTTTTCCCAGCAGAAAAAAAAAAAAAAAAAAAAAAAAAAAAAAAAAAAAAATCCATTTTCTGAAGAGGAAATGGTGATTTGTTTCAGCCATGCTATTGCCTGGGAATTCAGCAGCCTTTGGTAATAAAGGGGTTAAACAGCAAGTTCATCTTAACTCTGGAAGAAAACATGTTGTTTGAATTGCTCCTTTCCAGGGTAAATAAGCGTTACTGCTTCATAGCACCTTTTCTCTTTGAGGTGTCTCTGGCTTGGCTGGTTTTTATTGAATCCCACCTCAGGTCTCACACAACTAATGCGCCACACCTGAAAGATGCCGCCGTGCTGCACAATCTCAGCCTAAGTAAAACAAGAAATGCACTGAAATGCTCTGAAATTCAGTCTCCTGAGCAGATGTGGATTCCAAGGCTTAAATTAATTACATTACGTGGGCTAGCTCATCAGTGAGTCGTGGTGGACACTCAGACAAGTATCCAGCAAATGGGTACTTTACTATGACTTTTAAAATGCAGTGAAGCCTCAGAGCCTCTTTCTCTTTTGTTCTGAACCAGCCCCTCCAAACCATGCTGTTAAATTTCACTCCAGGTCTCATCTCCAAATGCAAATCTGTTCTGTCTCCTCAGCATGAGATCCTACATAACAGCTGTACTTTTGACAAGTCTTTTTCCATACTTACTCTTCTCAACCCAGAACGTGCACTCCCGTCCCTCTGACAGGGGTGATGACACATGTGCTAAAGCTGATCCAGTCCCTCTGGAGAGCATCTCCTCTCCTCCTGTGCTTATCACAACTAGACATAAGGGAAGTCATACACAAAGGCACATTAAAACATGAAAATAAGTTAAGACTACCCCACAAGGCACTTGAGCAACCTTAGATCAGCCTCACATAAATCATCCCAGTGAGCAGCAGTTCCATGACACCACTTTCTCTTTTTACAATGTGACACCTGCCTGTTCCCCTGCAGAGGATGGACCTGTTCTGGGCATGAGATCAGGCTTGTTTAGGAAAAGAGGTTGGGTTGCTTCCAACACCTGGTACCTTAATCAATTCCCCACATAGTCACGGGTTACTGATAATCTACTTTCTGGACCCCTCTGATTGACAGCTCCAGAGATGTCAATAACTTCTTGTAACTGGGGTCAGCTAAAGTTTCACGTGAAATAAATGGAATGCTGAATATCTCTAAACCCTCCAAAAGAACCCCAAGTCCCAGGCAGCAGCTGAGCAGAGAAGGTGGACACATCTGATGTTCATTTCCCTCTGTCCTTGTTCCCCGAGGGGGTAATTCAGAGCAGTTGAATGTTCACACATCAAATCGATATGAAAGTACATTATTAATAGGCATCTGCAATGTTCACTGGGCAAGACTGGGATGAGAAACATCATAAACCTGATGGCGACATTAAATATCATGATTTCAAGAAAGTTTTTAAACACCGTATGGCAAGATGCATGAGGCAACAAGAGGACAGACCATGCCGACACCTCATTTTTGAATGCTTTTCCACTCTGCAACAGAGACGTGACGATAAAAATGGTTCTTCAATTATTTATTATAAGGCTTTATTATAATGCTTATGCCAGAGGGCCCTGGATTAAGATTGCATAGGAAGTTTTAATCATGTCATTTCATTGTTTTTGTGGACCTGACTATGCCAGTCCAGTAGATTTCTTCCCTGAAATGTGCATCCTGTGCTTGCGGAGCATTTGCTTGTCGCCAACTGTTGGTTTTACGAAGAAAACTGTGTGAAAAGTCTGTATTTTTCACTGCATTAACAATAAACAAAACCCCAGCTCACAGTAGCAATATATATACTGTTCTACTCATTGTTCATGTTCTGAAAAGGAAGAGGAATGGGGCCAGGCTCCTTAAGAAATGAGGCAGAAACGCCACTGAGATCTCGTTTCCTGTGCAGGAGCTTGGGAGAGCTTCAGTCACTGCAGTCCTATGTTGGGTTTGAGTAGGTCGGGCTTGTAAGATCTGCAGCTTCTTCCCAAATTCACTATTCAAGATGAAAAAATGGGCGTGCTTTTAATTAGCGAAAGAGCCCTGACAGCTCGAGCAGATTGAGCTGAGGGCAGTCCCTTTGAATGGGGAGCAGAGATCCCCTCACCTCTACTCCCGATGAAGAGGAGGAGGGAAGCCTCAGGACACCTCTGCAGCTAGAACAGCCTCAGTGTGCCCGGTAATTAAGAGATCATCCCTGACGTGTCCAGTGATGGTCAGCAGGGCCCTGGTCTCCTCGCCACAAGCAGCACAGCATATGCCCAGTTGGACGTCAAACCCTTCTGAAGTAATTGTTTAAAGTAGCCGCAGCCAAGCAGAAATAGGAAAATGTTAGATGCTGTTTGTGTGCTGGTTGTACACGCCGCCACTCAGACTCATTAATCAGACTCCAAAAACGGTGGGATGGCTTGAAACATTGTTGTTTGTAATTATAGTTTAGGGGCTCCGGCTTTCTGCGATTTGAGAGGTTTTAAGGTGGTGCGTGCTGCTTTAGCTGCTTCCAGGGTGTGGGGCTTTTGAACCCATTCTCTCTCCCAACTAAACTTGTGAAAAAAAATTGCAAGTTGGCAACACTATGTATATCGGGTGGCTTTTATGGGAGAAGAGGTCAGCGAGAGCTTCTACTTCCCTCCATCTGCTTGCAGTCTCATTGCCACGCAATCTTATCACTACATGGTTGCAAGAGTGTAAGTTGAATCAGAAATGCCAGCTGCACTGTAAAAACCCATCTTCAAATCCAGAAGCTGTTCAGGGAGAACAAAATGTATGTTCACTTCAACTGAGAGGAAATGTTCTGAACAATATTTTAGTTTTTGGGTTTTTTTTTTAATATATATATATTGTGGCCTTTTCTGGGAAATTACTTTCCTCATCTCTTCTTCCTCTGCCTCCCCTCCCACCTGAAGTAATGGCCGCTGTAAAAGAGACTTCTTGATCCCAGATGTGTTCAATTTCCTGCAGTAAAAATTAAAACCATTGCCTTTTTCATAAATATCTGCCAAGGATGGAGATGCACTACTTAAGAACTTTCTGCAACTGCTTTAGTTTGAAATTAATAAATCAGTAGGATTTGATGAGCTAGCCAGCATTTTCTAATTTGTTTCTACTGGCAAAAGTGCCACAGTAAGTTACATCCAAACAAATTTGGTGGCAGCATCTGCTTTACAATGACCTAAATGTCTAAATCTAATTTTAGAAAGTGACTTGCAAAGGGTTCAAGCAAGGCTTTCAGAACTTGGTCCGGATTTTATTTTCACTCCTTTGTCCAGATTTCATTTTCACTCTTAAGCGAAGAGCTGATTCACGGCTTTTACACAGTTGCTGTTGGTTTACGGATCCACAGTGGGGTCCTGAGCCACGCCGAGCTGTGACCCATCAGCATGAGTCAAGACCCCCACATGTTCAGAGAAGCACATCAGCGCTGCTTGTGATAGAGATGGAGGAGGCTCAACCCCTCGAAGCCACACATGGTTTGACATACTGAAAGGCAAGCCTGTAGGGGGAAAGAATGTGTCTCAATACTCTACCTGACAACGTTGAAGAAAAATGGGCAAACCTTTGTGCTTAGCAAACCTTCAGCAGCTGAATGGTTCAAGAAATCCTGTCTCTGGGCAGTCTGTGGGTGTCTTTGATCCCGGGACCAACCTTTCCAGGTCCATTGGACGTATCCCCACCACAGGCAGCCGTTGTTAGGTTCCACCACCTTGATTTCCAGGAGGATTTTGTTGGCTTGGCCTGGGCTGCCTTTGGGGTCTGCCTGTTGGGCTGGAGCTCAGGCAAATAGCACTGCTGGAATTGTCTGGCAACTGGAAACGGTTATAATTCGACTGGAGTTAATGTTAAAATACCCTAAAAATCCTTCTAATGAGAAGGCCTCTGCGTGTTCCTCCAATTCTAACCTTTTTTGCTGTCCCCAGTGGAAGTGGCTTTAAGGGCTCTGCCTCTGGCTAGCGCATCGGATTTTGGTTGCCAGGTTCTGGTCTGATTTGTTCTTTTATAACCCGGAATTCTGTTTATTCCAAATTTGGGGTTCTGAGTTTAGATGGGCTGTAGTGCCCATACCTGTTCTTTTTATATATATCTATGATTTTTACATCCAAGTGATACAGAAGTTTAAAAAGGTGCCTCATGGAGTTGTTTCATGCACACATAAACCAGTGTAAATGCGTAAACAATACCATGTTTCTGAGCCATATGAGAAAATATACACTTGAAGGGAATTTTAAATAACTAAGGTATCATTCTGGAATAAAATTTAATAATCCTGATAAAAATAAAAAATCAACATCAAAAGATATAAAGGATTATTACTTTAGACAATGCAAAGAAACCACTGAAGAACATGTTCAATGTCTCGAGTCACATGTAGCTTTGGTTATGTGCTGTAGGCATTGTATTGTACGATTTTCTTTTTTTCTAAAGCTAGTGGCTAAAACATGTCTCAGGACAAAATAGTAAATAATGAATCACCCACAAATTCAGCTCATTTCCTATCTCTCACTGAAAAAATGTTGATTCCAGGCATGGGAGCATAACTTTGAGCCAAACAGTAATTTCTTTATGGTGTGCATGACTCATAGGAAAGAATGCCTCATGGGGATAGCAGGAGAAAAAACGAAATTAAAAAAAAAATAACATAAGTAAATTCGCTTTAAAGAAATAAGCAATCAAGTAAAGGGTAAAAGGTCAGAAAAGGCCCTCGGCTGTTTTTGCTTTGCTCCTGTGGTCTTCACGGTGTCCTCCACCTCCTCTGCCCTGCAAGGAGCTGCCGAGGCAGGGTGGGCATCGGTGGGGCAGCACCCCAGAGAGGGAAGGTCTGTGGCACTGTGGGACAGCTCAGGGGCCAGCCTAACTCATCAACTGGTTAAAGAAGCCAAAATCGGAATAAGAATTAATTTCCCACCATCTTACAAGACACTGAGACTAGATGCTTGCTTTTCAATTCATGCCCATAGTTTGCCCCTGGTGTGAAATCCTGTGAGCTGACCCTGCAAGTTACGTGGCAGTGATCTGTGGTACGGAGTCAGCCTCCGTTCTTTTGTTCTTTTTTAATATCCAATACCTTTTTAGTAAATTCACTTAAGTGTCTCTTTTGCGTTACTCTGTCCTTATCCACAAATGTGAATAAAAAGCAGTTTATCCCCCTCCATCAGTTTCTTTGCAATCTCTTGATGGGACATTAATTATTACAAATATTACTTGCCTTCACTGGGAAGTGTCTCCTCCCTCAGGCAGATTTATTCAGCAGTGTAAATGGATATTCATCGCGCATATTTCATGAATGGTGATTGTGAAATGGAACAGAATTTCAACTCAGCTTTCAGCAGCAATCTCTCATCTGATTTACATTCCCTCCCCCCCCCCCCCC